TCAACTGAAATCACAGAAATCAAATGAAATCAACTGAAATCAACTGAAATCACAGAAATCAACTGAAATCAACTGAAATCACAGAAATCAAATGAAATCAACTGAAATCAACTGAAATCACAGAAATCAAATGAAATCACTGAAATCAACTGAAATCAACTGAAATCAAATGAAATCACATTTTGATTTTGGAAATCAGAAATCACGAAATCAGTTTGTTCCCCCTTGCTACTTTAGCCAGAGTCGAAACCAGTCGTATTTTGCTTAGAATCTAATTTCATCCTTTTGAATACACCCATGTCCACTATCATCTTCACTGACGAATGAAACTCGAAAACAAGTGTCTCATGCACTGTAAAAAAATTCGTAGAATAATAAACGCCACGAAAAGGGTTTATTACATTCCTAAACCCTTCATCGTATGTTAAAAACCGTTGTATCGTTTATCATCCACTCCCTAAACCCTTTATGGGTTTATGAGCTTTCAAAACCCCTTGTAATGGTTTATTATACGTTGCACTTTCTTCAACCCTTAAAGGTTTATTAGATCTCCTAAACCCTTTTCCATTCATAAACCCTTAAAGGTTGATGAAAGTGCAACGTATTGTAAACCCTTAAAAAGGGTTTATGAAAGCTCATAAACCCATAAAGGATTTAGGGAGTGGATGATAAACGATGAAAGGATTTTTTAACATACGGTGAAGGGTTTAGGAATATAATAAACCCTTTTCATGGGGTTTATTATTCTACGATTTTTTCTTACAGTGTGAGGAAAACGCTCCGGGAAGTATCCTTCTTGCTACCTGCTTGCATCGACAGATTCTATGCACATAATTTCGAAAATAAAACCCTCCTTGTGGATCAGTGATCGATGTGTAATCACACAGAAATATAGAAATTTTCGTTACAGAGATTGTACATGTAACAAAAAATAATCAGATATAGCTATATCTTTGCTTAAGCTCTGAGTTAATAAGGTTCACGTTATAACTATATCTTTATTCGTGATGAGGTGTTGTATCAAGGTATATAGATTTGCGTATATATCGAGATAAGTTCGAGCTTGGTGCTTTGTTGAAGATTATAACAGTATGATTGAACACGTCCGGATAACGCCGAACCGTAATCGTTTACTATATAAATAGTTTAAGTTGAACAAATCAGCAGCACTCTGCTAATAGCAACTACAAGTATGTGTTACACGCCGCAAACAATAATTCTCTGTGTATATTGCTCAGTTCAACTCATAATTATTTTCTCTTCAACCAATTAACGTCTTCACGTGTCAACATCTGACGACGTCTCTTAACATTGCAACATCTCTCTTTTGTCGTACATCCCACGAGGTTACATACTAGAGAGAGAACACAAGAGAGAGAGAAATATCCAGAGAGAAGACGATACAAGAAAAAGGTACATAGAAAAAGATACAGAGAAAAGGTAAAGAGAAAAGATAGAAAAAAGGATACGGAGAGAGATTACATATTGCTCGCACGAGTAGGGGTGCAACGGTGACGGTGATTTACCGGTTCACTGTTCCATCGGTAACCGTTCCACCGGTAACTGGTGCAACCGGTAACCGTTCCACCGGTAACTGGTGCAACCGGTAACCGTTCCACCGGTAACTGGTGCAACCGGTAACCGTTCCACCGGTATAAGCCGGTAAAAACCGGTATAAGCCGGTATAAGCCGGTGAAAACCGGTATTAGCCGGTATTAGCCGGTAAAAACCGGTATACACCGATATAAGACGATATCAGGTGAGTATGGCTGTGGTAGCGAATAGAGACTCAAGGATGACGATGAATCGCGTTTCACCGCCTCATACTGGTATCAACTACAATCCGTATTCGCCGATACTACCAGGTATTTGCTTAATACCGTCGGTATAAACAAATACCGGGTGTTGCAAAGGTTTTACGACATATTTCATTTAGTATGAAGCTCCACTAAACAAAATGATTAAATCTCGTTTTTTTAAAGATGCGGCGTAAAAAGTTGTAGAAAAATGGCATCAACAAATTCCTATTGACTCGTTCTGATGGTGCTTCCCGTACTCAAAATGAAAAGGCTGCACGATAGTGGTTAGGGATGCAACGGTGACGGTGAATTACGTTTCACCGGTTCGTACCAGTAACCAGTTCCAACCCGTGTACACTGGCGCTAGTCGGTATTCGCTTAATGCCGCCGGTATTAATAAATATGAGCAAAATCCGGTCAGTATAAAGCGGTAGGACGGTTACGATAAACACCGGTTATTTTCACCGTTGCATCGCTAATCCCAGCAACTGCTTCCCATTCGGAATTCCTTTCGCACAGAATCGATCAATTAAATTTCTTACAAGCTGTTTTTCTCATAAGATAGTCGTTCCAACAAACCAATGACATTCACAAGTCTTATTCTTTATTTGCCTGCTGATGCTTGGCAAAATACAAGTATCCCAAAAAAGTAACTCCAAGTCAACCAAATCAAATTCAACTCTATAACGCTTAACGATTCATTTATCTTATAGCACATGACCGCCTAAGGTTATCCCCAGCAGTAGAACTTGAGAACCTCAGGGTATCCCCCATTAGTAGGATTTGAGGACCTAAAGTACCGAAGCAATAGTACGACTTGTGGACCTAGGCATGTGCGGTGTGCATTTACTGAACACCGATAGACACCGACAGCGGCACTCAGTGCACACTGATGGGTTCAGCGACACTGATCACTGAAATATTGATCACACCGACGCCGACGTCACTGATGCGCTTATACCATCGGCGTCACTGGTACGTCAGACACACAGACTTCACTGACATCTCATAATAAGTTTTTACATAATACTGTAAGACACGTTATTTGAATAAACAAAGAATGATCATAAAGTAGATGCATATATTTTTCAGAAAAATTAACGGTTAAAGTTTTAGAAACGTGAAGAAAATTAATGCATCTTCGTCGAAGAATTAGATAAATAAGTTATAAGTGAAAATCTTCGACAAAAAAACATGTATCTAGTTTATGATCATTCTTTGTTTATCTAAAGCACATGTCTTGCAGTATTATGTAACAATTAATTAAGAGATGTCAGTGAAGTCAGTGTGCCTGGCGTACCAGTGACGCCGATGGTATCAGCGCCTCGGTGATATCGATCGCAATGTGATCAATATTTCAGTGATCAGTGGCGCTGAACCCATCAGTGTGCACTGAGCGTCACTATCAGCGACAAAAGTGACGGTTTTTTCGGTGTTGTCACTGACGCCGCACATCCCTATGTGGACCTAAGGTTACCACTTTGCAACTTTAATCAGTGACTTTATTAAAGTTAAAATTGTAAAGTGTTTCACTTTAATTAAAGTTTGAAGTTTAAAGTGATTTACTTTAAACTGTAATACTTTTTTAAAAGTGTCTTTAAAGTTAAAGTGCCACCCTTAGTCTATACTGGTTTATACCGGCTTATACCGGTTTATACCGGCTTATACCAGCTTATACCGGCTTATACCGGTTTATACCGGTCGGAACGGTTACCGTCACCGTTGCATCCCTACACACGAGGTTACGCATTCTCATTTAGGCAACTGACTATCAGTGATGTAGACTCAATCACGCCAATATGATATGTTCCTTCGACTAATCTAATAGATGGATGTGCGTCACTTGTTGCAACCCTCCATTTATTCTATCCTATAGGAGTGACGTACTTCTTCGCACAGTACATCATCACTAGTCGTGGTGATCCGAAAGTTTTTCATCGCCATGATGGAGACTCCATCATAAAGGGTTCATCACAGTGCTCTCGATTTGGAACTCATAATGTTCTCTTTATTAAAATATTGTGTTGATAGTCAATTCGCAAATTATTTTGAAACATTATGAAGAGAAAGATATACAAATTCTTTACACCGAAGATTCTTTATGAGGATTAGCAGAATCAGCTTGCATCACGTTTTTACCCATCTTTTGTTTTGCATCAGATGCTTTTCTCGACAGATTATCCATTTCTCGTCTTTCTTGTTCACTGATTTGACCCTTCAAGGATTCCTTTTCTTCTCTGATCGCTTCTTGGTATAATTCTATCAAGAATACCTCCAAAAATGCATCTGGATCTTTCGATTTTTTTAATCTAGCGAGTAAATCTTGGTTAATACGCTCCTGTTCATGGTATACGTATCTGTTGAGAAGTTGATCAAATATCGCATCAACGCGTCGCTGCACCCCAGCAACCATTTGTGCTGATTCAGTTTGACGCGAATCCGTTGTCGGAGACTTTAGTTTGAGCACGATGGCGCGGCATCTATCGGTTACTTGTGTTATTGTTTGAGTTGGTGGAGAGGCCATCTTATAAATATGAAGAAAAATATTGTTTAATTGTGCATGATCAATTATATCAGATCTTATTCTAAGTACAGCGTTATGAAATCAGCTAGACCTTAAAAAGAGTTCATATTATTACGCCATCTCTTTCCCCGATGCTCTTATCCTTAATTCTACTATCTATCATGATTAAGGGAAAATGTTTTCTATTCCTACCCAGACAGACAAAACTCACAAAAAAACGGTGAAACACGCGTAAAAATTTAAACGAAAAAAAAATCAGGAAAAGCGCACATTTCTACGATTTTATCTTCGTTAGCTTCTCTACGGTAATCAACGCGTTTAAAACTAACGCGCATTTATACCATTTCCAAATCTACGCATATTTACTCTTTACAAATCAACGAGTTGTTGACGCCTGAAAATGTGCGCTTTTCCCGATTTTTATCTACGTTAACTTTTCTACGCAAATTAACGCTTGCAAAACCTAACCGTTTTCATCCGTTTGAAAGCAACATCTTTTTACCCTTGACGAATCCACGCATTCTTAACGCCTCAAAATGCGCGCTTTCCCGATTTTCACCTACGTAAACCTTTCTACGCCGAATAACATATTAGCATACGTTACTCACGTGAGTATCTGTTTACACGTTAATATGATGGGTAACTTATAAACAGATGCCCAAGCGGGTAACATATAAACAGATACCCAAGCGGGTAACGTATCAACAGATACCCAAACGGGTAATATATAAAACAGATACCCCAATGGGTAACATATAAGCAGATACCCAAACGGGTAGCATATACACAAATACCCAGATGGGTAACATATAAACAGATACCCACAAGGGTAACATATAAGCAGGTACCCAAATGGGTAGCGTAAACACAGATACCCAGATGGGTAAAGCACCGAAAGATACCCCAATGTGTAACATATAAACAGGTATCCAGGTGGGTAGCGTATTAATTGATATCCAAGTGGGTAACACACAGAAAGATACCCAATTGAGTATGACACGGAGAAATACCCACACTGGTGTTGTATAGTGATAGAGTGAGGGGATATGTGTATAGCCATTCACCGGATGATTATTTTTATGAGTGTTTACCCTATAGGGTAAACGGGTGGTCGGTGAGAAACTCATATTAAAGGTGTAGCTACGTGTATAAAATGTGGCCAAATAATGGAAAATTAGGAAGAATGGATGTGATGAAAAGATAATAGTGTAACTGGAAACGACAAATTACAGGTGAAAATCAAGCAAGTAGTACCTCTTTATAGAATACTCATTTAATAAAATAAAACTTTGCGTTAGATATATGAATGAGGACGCGGTAAAATTTTTTAAAAACACTTCATTATGCTGTTGTTAGAGTGCTTGAGGCTTTGTCAGATATTTTTTACAGATTGCTTCTGTCGAGGCAGTTGTATGGTGCGCATAAGATTTTTAACGATAATGATTGATGATAACTTAAAGCATTTTACCGCTAGAGGTCATACATATACTAATAGTAGAAGGTAGTTTTTATTTCACAGCATTTGGAAAAAAATTCTACTGATTTTCTACTTTTACTGAAATTTATTACTTTTGTTTTATATAAAAAATAATGATATATCATTACAATAGTGTTGAGATTTAATTCTAAAGAGTAGAAAATATGGATTATATCATGGGCGTATGTGGGTGTGGGTGTGAAGTATCGAATTCCAACACCCACACCCACACCCGGATTATAACGAGTAGAATTACTTCGAATTACATCGAAATACGAAATATTTTCTAACTCATAAAAACGTGTTCATAATTGAACGGGTAATTACGAATTTAATTTTATCGAATCATATGAAAAAACGAAATATTTTCTAACTCAATAAAACGTGTTCATAATTGAACCCGTTTATCAACGTTAAAGGAACTGAATCAACGCTAGTTAACGAAGATTTTTTTAATGGAAAAAAAATCGTACATAAATGTACGCTGAAAAACGGATGAAAAGTGCGTCAAAACGGAGTTTTCTTTTTAGGGATGCGTAGAAACAGCGTTTTAACGTATAAAAAACGCGTTGTTACGCGCTTTTTTGAGGGTTTTGTCTGTCTGGGTAGCAATTAAATAGATGTTGGCTAGTTTTCTCCTTTACCCATGCAAATTTTCGAACATTTGTTTTACTACCAATATCAATTGACTATCACATGAATGAGAAGGACATGAAGAAATATCACCAAACAGTATCGCTAACCAAGAAAGTTTTTATGAAAAAATGCAAAGCTAGAAACACGACTTCAATGGCATTATACATGTTTTCAGTCTTACACAATGCGGTCTAGTTCAGTAATCACCCAGTCAGACAAGCAACGAAAAATAACGCGTAAAAACGAATAAAAATCGCACAATTTTTCAATTTTATTTTCGTTAAAAATTCTACGCGTTTTTACCCGTTATTTTATAGAAATAAGTGACTTGATAGAGGAAAAACAGGTATAACTCGTACACTCACTTTTTTACAAACTATCGAGATAGTTCATAAACAATGCAAGTGTACGAATTATACCTGTTTTTCCTCTATCAAGCCACTTATTTCAACAAAATAAAATCGCAAAAATGTGCGATTTTTATTCGTTTCTACGCGTTATTTTTCGTTGCTTGTCTGACTGGCAAGTGAGTCATACATACCTGATGCTTGTATGCAAAATAAATTTCGTTCTCGTTCACCAGTGACTATGCTTCTTTTATGTCAAAAAGCAGGCTTTCTTTATATAGTCCATTCTGGAATTCCGTATTGATCAATGAGTAACGTCATTACTTCCTTGCGTGGGCCGCAAGAGTTTTTTCTGCCAATCGAGTGACAGTTTCAATCGCGACGTGGGAGAGTCGCAATTTATTTCGGAAGTACGTCATTTTAAGTGTTGGAATAATCTTAAATTCTGATTCATGGCGAAAAAGAAT